AATGCAATATTTCTCTTTTTAATTATTAATTAGAATTTATTATATGGCTATGACTATTCTAGAGTTACATTAACATTATTAAGGAAGCATGAAAAGGGCTACTGTTTGTATCTGTCATAGAAAGAGGAGTCAAAAACATTTCCAAATATTCAGATATGTGGTTTTCCAAAGGAACATGGGGTGGTAGTGGTAAAATGCGACCAGTATCTTAGAGGCACTGAACCCCTTCCCCATCTGAAATCTACCAAGCCCACACTGGCCTCCTATTTTCCACAGACACCTATGGACTCGGCATTGCCTCTTTCTTGTTAATTTCAGCAAATGGGACCTAAGGCTTTCTTCATTTATTGTAAGAAGCGTAAAGGGTTGGGTTAGGAAGGGCCTCAAGGACCCTGGTAAGCAAGTGTCAGGAGGGCAAAGCAACAGAACTCAGTTGCTGTCACTGCTGTAGTTTCCTGACTTGTTTCCTTTCTTTTCATCTGTCCAGAGTGAGCCCCAAGGACTGAGAATCAGGAGGAGCTTTAGCTTTGTCTAGCGTCTGTGCAACTTTGCTCACTCTAAATTCCCTCTGTTAAACCAACTTTTCCCTCTGTGATCTGGCCGCGGAGGCTGCAGCGTCAGGCCAGTGTGCTTGTTTTTATATGCAAATAAATCACTTGATTATATTTCTTGTCCTTATGTTATCATGAATATTTCAAATGAATTTTATATGGTTCATATTTATGGTTTGGGAGCTCTTTCACTTTTTGGCTCTCTGCCGTCTCATCTGCATATACCATATCTCAGCTGATGTTGATTGGTCTCATTTACATATTCATCATGCTCCTATTTTCAAACATATTTTGTTATAAACTGGCTTTTCTTTCCCCCCTCCAGTGTTATAATGGCACGTAGATGTGTTTTTAAATTGTGCTCATTTCCATACATAATTTTTCTGGTTACCATAAATCACCACATTGTCACCTACTCCCCCCACTTTGTTCAGTACAATCTTCACACTTTATACCAAGCTGACATATGGCTCCAAAGTAATTAAGGACAATGTAAACAGTTTACAGTGCACTTTGCAAAGCCACTTCACATTGCAGAGAGTTTAATGGTTTTCATTTACTCCCAGTAAGTCCCAAAGCAATGAAGTGTTGGGAGGCTTGAGATAAGGCTAATGTTGAAGGCTAGAATGTGAACAGTGGCTCTGTCATCTTTAATGGGGAAGCTTCTGTTTTACCCAGAAGACTCTCCTGCTAACTTTTTACAAGAACAGAACTGGGTTAATGTACCAGGAAGACTCATCTGCACGGGTTAGGATGTATACCCAACTCTCCTTTCTTTTTTGATGGAAAAAAGCATGAGTCTTTTGCAATTGTAAGGAGGAAGAGATGCAAGTCCATCAGTGTTCCAGCTATAGAATGGGAGGTTAAGGTGCCAGACAGCATTATGAATGAGGAGGTATCGTTAACACTTATATAGCTGTTAGATGCTCATACAGCATGGGGGTGAGGGAAACAAAGATGTACAATCTCAGAATCTGAGCAATCTAGTTAAGTCCATGAGCACAAAGCATATTCTACTCTGGAGTATCCAATAAGAAGCTAGAACTAATGGACCAAGCAGTGATTTGATTAATACAGTATCTGTCTGGTTATTTTTGTTCTGGGTGGCCAGATGAACAAGTGACGTCCAAACAACAGGAACTGATAGGCAGATGAACATGAGAGTCTATGGAGACCTTGGTAATTATATGATCAAAATTAAAATACAGTCCAAGATATAAAATACATAAGAAGTTATGTGCAAAACCTGTGCTGTGAACATTTGTTAGACTCTTTTCAGTTCTGAGAGGCAGAAGAACATGAACTCTCAACAGGCTTAAGGAAAAGAAGGGGATTTAATGGTTCATTTAATTTTATGGTAAGAGAGAAAGATAGCTTTAGAAACAACTTTATTCAGGTTCTAGTGTCCTTAGGACTTGGGCTCTCTCTGGTCTTTCCTTCTATTATGTGAGTTTTATCGTCATCAACACCTATAGTAGGTAGATGGTGACAATTGTCTGGCTTCACTTCTTTGTGGAGTTCTATTCCTAAAAAAAAGAACTGACTTTTTCATTGCTCCATCCCATGAAAGCCTCAAGATTTATTCTGTGCCCAGATTACAGAAGAAACCCTCTAGCAGTCACTGAAGCTAAGAGACGTGGTGTTCAAACTTCCTGCCACCTAAGTTATGAGCTCATCCCAAGAGCTGGAAGTGTCTCCTTCAACCATATGTACTTAGTGTGAGGGAGAAAAGACCTACAAACAAAACAATCCACTCTGCTGTGGGGTGTGTGTGACATAGTTGAAACTCTGAGAGTTGGGTAAACAAGGTCTGCAAAAAAAAATTAGTTCCGCCATGAAGAAGAGCAGTGTCTCTGTGTGGTTGGGGAAGACTTCTCGAAGAGAACTTAGAGTTAAAGGAAATCAGGAGTTTCTAATTAACATGCTCATCACAATAATTATTGTAGTTAACTTTTGCTGAGGACTTCACAATGTGCCAGGTACCAAATGAAGTCCGTTGCGGTCCTCACTTTCCCCTATCCTCTCCCAAAGTCATTAGATCTGGGAATATCAGCTGTTGCTTGAGACCTTTGATAATTGGACCATTTTGAAGAATCTGTCGCCAAATCACAAGTGGGTGCAGGTGAAGAGGTGACTGAAAGGGAGGGAGGCAGGAAGGCAGGAGGGGGTGTTCTTTCAGTGGCATTCATGGTGAAAAGAGAGGTAAATGCCTGACGGGAAGGGAACATTTAGGAGAAAGTGTTTCCCTTTTCTCCTTTTAGTCAGGATAGAAGTGAAACATAGTCATATGTAGAATGAATTAAAGAGATTTAGGGAGAGGGAGATATGGAAGATGAAGCCAGTATTTATTAAATGTAGGAAATAGGTTAAAAAAAATTAAGACTTTTAGTCTAGGTGAAAAGGATGGTTGTAGGAAGGAGAGGAGAACTTAGCCGTGACAAAACAGGATGGGAGACAGTGTGGGGACGCTGATCCTGGGGACTATGGCAGCAGGTGGCTTCCAGAGACCCCAGGCCTGTGGGATAGAAGGTGACGCTTCAGGGTGAGAAGAATTCAACTCCAGTGTAGTTTCAATTTATATCCCATTGCAATGTCCTCAGCTAATTTCTAAAGACAAGAGGTAGGGATGGATTCGTTGTATGTGGAAACACTGCATTACCGAACCAGCTGCCTCGTTGCTTGTATTATTGTTATGTCAGCTCGCTTTGGCCAGCTCTTTGACCATACAATGGCCTCATTGAGGCTGAGTCTTCTGTGAGGGGCCAGTCATATTTGCCAGATAAAATTTCATGAGGTGGGTTATTTGTGATAGCCATCATTTTTGTATCTAGGCAAGTGGTAGAATGTTTGGGGGATCCAGGAGTTCCTCTAGTCATCTAGTGTATGTCACATCCTTGGCCAGGCATTGCCTAGCCTACCAAGGAACAAATATCTCAGACCCTATGACTTTCGTGGAAAGCTCTGTTCAGATGTGTGCCTGTCCTTGTGTTGAGTATCTTTACCAGCTGAGAACATTGGAAGACAGAACGTTTTAAACTGAGCTCTCATCTAATATGACAATGAAGGTCTCTTTCTCAAATACAGATGAGGAAGCAAAGGCCTTAAAGGCAACCTTAAGATTACATAGTCAGTTTACATGGAAGCTAGCAATTAACCAGGACTCTGGCCACTGTCTTGCAAGCAGGTGGTTTAATTGTGAAAGCATAGTGCTTTTCTCCCTACTTTGTGTACCATTTGTGAATAGATTATGTTCTCTTTCCCCTGGACATCAGCAAGAAAGAGTCTTAAAGTGGGAAGACCAGCTACATGGGAAAATCCTACAGCTTCCAGGAGAAACACATGAGCTGGAGGCTAGCTTTCACCTTATTATCATAAAAATATTTCCTTTTCTGAAAACTGAGTACATCTCTGACTGTACTTACTGACATGTAAGTACTGAATCCTGACTGTGTCATAGTGGAAAGCATGTCTCCCTTCTAAGATCCTCCAGGGGAGCCGAAGGCCTTCAAAGGAAGGGTATATTATTTGTGGTGTGAGAGAATTCACTCTGGGTTTACTGTTGCAACCCGCCTTGAGAAAATTCCATTTGGAGTCAACTCTAAATTAAACTACATCAATAAAAGTCAGTGTTTACTACAGCAAAGGAGACTTTTTGGCCAGTCCTACAAATGTTCTCAATACTTACACACGTTTGCAAATGAGTGACTATTGATTGTGCATATGATTCAGGAACCGGAAGTCTAAAGAACGCTAAGGACAGAGATGTTAGGCCTTGCTGTTGATTCAAAACTAACCAGAGCTAGTAGGAGCATGCTTTTAAGAAAAAGGCTGTAAGCAGAAAAAATGATTTCTTTTACGAGTTATCTAATCTATGGTCCCTGGAAAATAAATAATTTTGCAAAACCACACAAGAGTGATGGAGTATTAGCAATCGTTTCTAACCACCATTGGTAGGAATCATGATGAGGAAGGAAAAGGGAAGGCATGCAAAAGATTTTTGGAACATCAGTGACTTTTAAATGCAGTCCTTCCCAAGGAACAGAGGTTCTAGGATGTGTTCTTAACCAGCAAATCTATAGGTGCTCAGGACTTACATACAACACTATAGGGTTTGTACAGAACATGCATAATCTTCCCATATAGTCATGCATACTGGAACAAAAATCAATTTTAGCATATTTGAAATACATAATGCAATGCAAACCTATATAAATAGTTGTATTATTGTATCAGTTATAGAATAACAACAATAAGAATTATTCACGTACACATACATACACACATCAGAATATTTTCCCCCTAATATGTTCAATCCATGCTTTGTTGAATTTACAGAGAAGGAGCCCTTGATAGGGATGGATAAATTCATAGAGCATCATGCTAGACATGGCACAAGGTAGCCACCCATAGCCCACCTGAGGCATTCACACAGCAACATCAGATACTTACATCTTCTCTAGGTCCTCAAATCCAGAAAACGATCCTTTTGGGATGACTCGAAGCTTGGTGAGCACGAACCTCCTGAAAAGAGAGTGGGTATAAAGCTTTATAATCCACCCGAACATAAATAATTGAGTGGTTGATGAATTCCATCAGGTAACACAAACACACAAGGGATGTCTGCCACGAGAATAAGGCTTCAGATTATTTCCCATTGTTCCCTTCCTCACAGAAAAGCGCTCGTCCAGATTCTGTTTGTATGTGGAGATGAATTTAAGGTGGCTAAGGCTCTTACCATCGTATTTCAAGAAATACCGAGTAGCACAAATGAGCAAGGGTTGTAGCCAAGGCCTGCCTATTAGTCATGAGACCCTCCTACACATTGTCCTCTGGTCATACTGAGTTGACCTTGCATCTGCTGGCATGGGCGAGCTGTCCAGCATCCTGCTGTCCCTCCCATCCATACTCCACCGTTTTCCTCTCTCCCAGGAAACCACTCCAGCAAATCTCCCCGCCTCTTTCATATTTCTCATGCTTGTATTTCCCCCTCTGCTGAATTCCACCATTCATATACAAGTATGTCACTGTTTTCTCTGTTCATGAAATTCTCTCTTAGCTGCAGCCACCTCTGGTTTTCTAACATCTCTTTTGTTTGAACTCTCTGTCTAACCCTTTAGACAAAACAACTCCCATAGGGTCCTGCTCCTCTCCTCACTCAGGGAAAATACAAATTGCTTACAGTGGCATTCAAAACCTCACAAAATTTCTTATTCTCTATTCTCTAGCTCCTTTAACCTCTTGTTTGCTTCAAAGTTTGCTAAACAGCTTAATTAATAGTAAGAGCTTGCAATGCACGTGCTAAGTACCATTTTCAGATTCCTCCTCTCATCACGCCCACAGACAACCTCCTGACTTGCCCCTCATCTTTCATTCTCTCAAAATTCACCTTCTCAGCTGGGTTTTTTTTTCTGACCTCTCTATGTAAAATGACAACCCCCTGACATATCCCCTGGCCCACTTCCCTGCTTAAAATTTTCTTCATGATCCTTCTGGCATGTTGTACATTCTTCTTTCTTGCCTGCTTGTTCACATAATTGTCTCTTCCCCTTGAGAGGCGTGAGAGTTCCACAGGGGCAGAGATTGTTTTCTGAGTTGTCACCTAGACCTGGCACATCACAGCTCTCTCTGAATCTGTTTTTACAACACTAGTACCTGACAGGAGAGCAAAGCACGGAATGTTTATGAAATGCTTCAAGCACAAGCTGCCTTGCATGGTTAAAGTCGGCCTAGATTTTCAGATGTTCTGAGCTGCAGTGTGGGCATGCAGGTCTTTTCTCTCCTGTTGTTTGAGCTTGACTGTCCCACACTCCTGCCCTGTGATGAGGAGCCTTGGGAGAGACCAACCCTCCTGTTTCCTACCAACTCAACTTCTGTAGCTCTAGTAACAGACTTCTTTTCTAAAAGTTTCAAGGACCATGCCTGTATTAAGTTGTTCAAGGTTATTAAAACAATTAAGATTTTTAAAAAGTCTATAAACTTTATTATTAAAAACTTGAAAAAACAAAACAAAACAAAAAGCAACTCACACAACAGACCCAATGTCTATACATCTCAATGAACTTCTATAGAGTTGAATAGTCATTTGGAATGGAAGCTATGTACGGTCACACTGGATTTTACACTCAGTTTTGAACATATTTTTATGTGCTTTTACACTTGAAAGCAGTTTTTAAAAAGAACAATTTTCATTTTCTCCAGAAGTCTTAAATAAAGCATAACAAATATCACTTTAACATGTATGGCTGCACTTGTACAAGTGTCAAAAAATTCTCTAAAGCCCAAAGTAAGAAACTGAATCCCAGATGTTATTCTGAGCAATTTTGAGTCCAAATCAGAATCCGAAGAGAGAGGGGAGAATGATTTTGATTTTCAGATTTGGTAACCAAGGAATTTGTATATGGATGCCAAACTGGTCTGCCAGGTAACAGAGGGTAAATGCAAAGTTTCTGCCAACCTCTTCTATTCTCCCTCCCTCTTCTCCTCTCCCTCCCCCTCAACCCTCCTTCTTCTAGTCATTCTTTTCCCCTTATCTTGTATGCATTCCAGAAAGAAATGAACAGAAAATAAAAAAAGACTAGTCAATTTTCACTGAAATTCACCATAATTTGTGGAAAGCTATAAATCCTCAGATTCAGAAAATCCAAGTTGTCCTACAAAAAGAAACCAAATTTTATTGCTAGATATCTGAGAATGAAAACTGTGGATCTACCAGAGAAAACATTTTTAAAGCAAAAGAGAAAAAGACAAAATATCTTCAAAGACAAAGAATTAGAAAAGTTTGTAAGAATATCTTTAAAGCTACTGGAGAAAAGTAATTGCTAATTTAGAAAATTACCATTCAAATATGAGGGTAAAATAAAGACATTTGAGGATAAATTTAATTAAACACTAAAAACTGAGCAAGATAATTCCTTTAGATAATAAGAAAGATTAATTCAGTAGGAAGACAGACAGACACTCATATGCATACACACACTGTGGAGTCAAAAAAATTAGTACCCTTCATTGACTAGGTGGGAATTCATAATGGTCAGAAAACCCACCAAGTCAATAAGCAATACTAAAAAATATCGACCCTGAACTAAGTCACAGAGCAAATTAGTGTGAAAACAAAGAACTTTCTTGGCAAGAATGCAATTGCGCAGTCACTTAGAAAACAGTAGATGATAATCTACTCCTTTACCTTAATACACATACACCCATATGGAAAATGAAACCAAAATATTACCACTCCTTTAAATCACACAAAGAAGAAATTATAATCATAAGAAGATTTAGGGTGATATAGGAAAATAGAATATCAGTAGTTAAGCTGCTACTCATACATAACTTTCAGCTTTAAATTATTATAGCAGTAGGAGGGACAGAATATTAATGAGCTAAGCTTCTGTTGTAAGAAACCAGCAGAAGATGAATTGAACTGTTGAAAGAAAAAAACCATAAGGCAGTGTTTCCTCATTCTATTCCTGGTTAGAATTTAAAGTGAAACCCAAAAACATTCTGACAAGAAACATTGGCATGATCATTGGTATGGATTGTCAGCTTGACAGGACCTAGAATCATATAGAAGATCCTCTGCATGTGTCCATGAGAGTTTCTAAACTGTTGATTGTGGTGAGAAGACCTTTATCTAACTGTTGGCGCTACCTTTTAATAGGCTAGGGTCCCAGACTGACTAAAAAGTAGAAAGCAAGCTGAGCACTTGAACTGATCTGCTGGATTCCTTGCCATGGACTCAAGGCAACAAGTTGCCTCAGGATCATGTCACCTCATGAGCCACTGATACCTTAGCTGATGTCTTAGCCAGGGTTCTACTGCTGTGAAGACACCACGAGCACACCTACTCTTATAAAAGAAAACATTTAATTAGAGCTTATTTAAAGTTTTGGAGGCTTAGTCTATAATCATCATGGTGGGGAATATGAGAACACGTTCCTGGAGAAGTAGCTGGGAATTCCATATCTGCATCCATGGGCAGCAGGAAGAGAGGGACTCTGGGTTTGGAATGGGCTTTTTGAAAACCTCAGAGCTCACCCCCAATGATACATGTCCTCCAAAAAGGACACACCTCCTAATCTTTTCAAATGGTGCCTCTTCCTGGACCAAGTATGGGGGGCATTCTTGTTCAAACAACCACAATGGACTATCCCTTCAAACTATAAGATGAGCAAGCTCTTCCCTTGTCAGGTTTTAGGTTGCAGTAAAGAGAAAACTAATTATTAGTAATACAGTTGGGGAAATGAAAGACTGTCAATGAATACCAATACAATTAGTGAAGCAAGAGACTGGCAACAGAGAAGTTTGGGGAAGATGAAACACCCAGGAGACACTACAGCTTAATAAACAGTCCTTGAGCGAGAGCAGTTTGACATATAAAATTTGACTTTTTATGATGACGTGAAGGCAATATGCTTTCAGGAGAAGCTGTAATTCTAATTTTACATTTTGGTCTTTTCCTGGCTACCATTGTGAGCCACCAAAGTGAGCCATAGCTCCCTATAGAAGCCATGAGGGTAGGAGAGGAAATGACAGACATTTTACAGGGGGTGCTTGTTCTTGGGTATTATTTGGAGGTTGATTTTAGGCTAGATCACATCCTTGAGGATAGTAAAAGCCATGAATACTCAAGTAAGTACTTCATATATGTATGCATATCTAGCTTATATATGCTTTTCTATATACTACTTATAAACTATCTCTAATTACTTATGATATCTAATACAATGTAAATACTGTAGGCTTGAGGAACGTGACATTAGCATTAAAAAATCTTTCTGGTCCAAGGTTGATTTGGTGTGTGGGCACAGATGTCCGACTATTATGTGTTGTCACTGTTCTTCTGGATATACGTATTCAATAAATTGCATTAAATATTCGTCACTTTGTCATTAAATAGGCTTTGTGTTAAATGGTGTTGTCCAACCACAGGCCGGTATAAGTGTTCTGGGCATGTTTAAGACAGGCCAGGCTAGGCTGTAATGTTTGGTAAGTTAAGTGTGAGAATGCAGTTGTTTTTAACTGAAGATAGATTCTTTTCATAAAATTTATCTGATTATGGTTCTCCCTCCCCCAGCTCCTACCTTCTCAAACAAAATTTTAAATTTCAGTATTATCAACTGATTAATGGATTTATTCATGGTGAGTCAAAACGCCATCTGTATGCATAAAGTTTAATCATTACATAAACTTTCCATTTTATAGCTGTAAAGTTAAGATTTGCTCTGTTTATTGCTAGAATGAGCAACAAATTATTTTTGTAATATTTACAGTTTAGGGTACTGGTTTAAAGATCTCATAACTACAGGGCTGAAGAAATGAACCAGCAGTTAAAGGCACTGGTTGCTGTTCCAAGGAATTAGGTTTGATTCCCAGCATGGATATGATGGTTCACAACCATCTCTAACTCCAGCTCCAGGGTATCTGATGCCCTCTTCTGGGCTCTGCAGAAACTATGCACATGTGTGGTATACAGACATATATGAAGGCCAAACATCATACACATAAAATTAAAATACTTTCAT